GTATAATATAAATGTTTTATTTATTTTTTGTTTATTTTTTGCTTTCATTAACAAACAGTTATTCTTTTATTAAAAAGGAACTCCAACATTATATCATATTCAGTTTAAAGCAAGATTTTACGGAATTTTTCATATTGAAAATAACTGTTTGTATCTAAGTTTGTTGCACTATTTATTTTAAAAACAAAAACAGATCTTTCAATTCCCGCGAACTGAACTGTCTTGACAAGAAATTTTCGTCTAGAACTTATTTGCTATTTTAACTTTTTTAGTTATGTTTGCAAGAGGAAATATTTAGATCTTGAAAAGATCTACTTCTTTCAGAATCGGTCTTCGTTTGAATGTATCCTATAGTTATTAAATATCAGGCCATTTTTTGAAATTTTAAGAATTTTTTACAGCTATTGTTATTTAAAAGTTTTGTAGATTTAAGGATCATTGAAAATTCATTTTTTTCATATCACTATTACAGTTTATTACAATAGTTCATTTTAGATCATGTCACTAGAAGTTTGGTCGAAACCATGGGAAGGTTTCTTACAAGTGTTAGTTCTGAAAACGACAACATTATCATCAAATTGACTTTTGTAGTTTTTTATTCTACCAATATTATTTTATAGAGTGCCTAAAACTTTTTTATTCTCCCACAAATTTGTATAAAATGCTGACTATATTGCCTACTTACTTATGCAAATTAAGCTATGGAATAAATCGCTTTTATAGCTAACTATCTCATTCAAGTGTATTTATTTGCATGTGCATGCATACATATGATCAGCAACATGACTTATAAAGGAGCAGGTAGCATGCGTTCAGGAAAGTGATCCTAAAATTCACGAACAAAAAGAAATATATTCGAGAAATAGAAGTATGTTCTTCTGTTTTAAATTTGTGCTGATAGTACATGTGAGTCTCATTAAATTGCTATCCTCATGGATATATGGTTTAATTCTGTTGGAACAGTTTTACAATTATCAAGAGCAATGCATATTCACACTCTTCAGTCAGACACTACGCACTGGGCACTGATGAAGTAGTGTTCATGGGCTTTTTGTACTCTTATCATGAAAGCTTCACGATCATTTATATAAAAGAGTAGACGAGCATGCAAAGGTGAATCTAACTGAAGCGTGGTTAGACAACGCTACAATTTTAGTATCATTATTTATCATTAACAGATAGATATGAACAGAATATCATATAAATTTCAGAATATTGGTCTCATATTTTTACAGATTGATTCTATTCTTAGTATGTAATTTGAATTATGATATTAGTTTTTGATTATTGCGAAGAAATCTATTTTCTCTAAAGATAATACTAATCTACAACAGAATCAAAAATTTTTTCTGTTACTGCCAAATATTTTGCTATTGATAATGATAAAACAGTTTCTATCTGAACTGTGTGATCAGTGGTTGCATTCTAAGAAAATGTAGCATATTTTAAAAACGTCCAGACTATGATACAATCATTTCGGATAAATGATCAGCACAATATCGGAAGCATGAATTTGTCAGCAGGATAACACATCTATAGATACTGAATACTTGGCCCAAAATTATCAGTATCTAACACTCTTCTAGAAAAATTACAGCTTTGATAAAGTATGCATATAAGCATCTTTTGTCGAGTTTAACTTCGGATTTTTTAGGCAAATGTCTTAATTCTAATAATGATCATGGTGTTATTTTTATTAATAATATGAATACAGTGTCACACTATTATTATTATTATTATTATTATTATTTCTATTAGTATTGGAATATTACTTTTTTTCTGTTCCTGCGTATGCCAACTGTTCACTGTTTGTTGTACTGAGTGACTTTGATAAGAAAACAAGAACTTCTGGCCTTCATTGTAATCAGTTAAGATTAAGCAGTAAAAAGTAAATAACTTCCATTTTTGTGATTATCAGTAGTTCTAATCATGTTTTTTATGAAGTGAAAAGCAAGAGCAGTCTGATTAAGTTGTTTTCATTTTCAGACAATTTTTGATCAAATTTAAATCTTGCAGTAAAGCGCAGTATTTATAGTTAATTCAGTACTGAAAATAACTTTGGCGTCAAAAGTGACTTTAGTGTCTGTTCTCAGTGCAAAAATATGTTTAGAGTAATTATACTTAGTTTTCAAGTTATATTTATTTTCACTCTTATTTTGAAATACTTTGAGAAGTAAATTTATTCATACTGCTTCATCTTTGATATTTCGAAAATAAGACTTGAAGTTATCCATTTTTTGAGAGAAGATCCATTGTCACATACATTACGACAATTTTAGACCAAATATTTAATTTTGATTTCAAAACCTTTTTACCTTCTAGATTTTCGCTTTTTTGAACATTTGATGGAATAACTTTCACATTAAATTTCCATACTTGCATATATTTGGATACTTATTTCATTTTTACTTGATTTTGGATGAAAAATATGATTTGAAATTGATAAGTTGAAAAATGGCAAAAAAGTTATGAAAAATTAAATTAAGATAGCATTTAGGTATGGATTACGGGGTTATGACGTTGATTAGCAATGCTCTCTATAATTGTATTGAGTAATTAGAAGCATTGTGGTTACGTCTTCAAAAATACAAATTTTATGAACACTTCAACCAAATTAAGCTCACGACGATGATACTTGTCTTGATAAAAAAACTGGAAGTCACGTCTGCTCGTTACTTGAGTGTTACAACAAGGCGAAGTTCTATGGCACACGTGCTAAACTACAACAATATGAATCCACATATTCGTAGTATGGAATTCGCTGTTCGTGGACCGATTGTGATTAGGGGTGAACAGCTAGAACATGAGCTGAAAAATGTAATAGTTAACTGCATTCTTCAAAGTATTTTTTCGAGTTCTACGACGTATAATACTTTAATCAGTTACTCAGCTTCTGATGATCGTTCTTTGGTTTGAAGCTGTTTTCCCGAGAACTTTTTCGTTCTAATTTATTTTCTTTCGTCTGAGAGAAATTGAAATATTTTTACTTGAACTATTCAGGGTCAGATAAAATCGTTCTCAAGTATTGTTAGAGCAAATATTGGTGATGCACATGATATGGGACAAAAACCGATAACTTGGATTAGACAAGTAATTAGTTATTCAATGATTAGATAATTTTAAAATTTACAAATTTACCAATATATTTCTCATATCTAAACATGTAAATGCAATAATATTAACTGTAAATGATTGATTTTTTTCTGAAATCAGATCAATTTTTAAAGATCTAATCGGAGATTTTGTTCCTAAATTTCACTACTTATTTGCTTCTGATCAATCAAATTAGTATTTACTTGTTAAAGTTGATCTAAACGCTAATTATCTTGCAGATCCTTGCATGCGCTTCATTTCCAGAATTTTTAAAATTATCATACATTCCACATGACGTTAAGACACACGTAGAGGAAATTCTGGCTGATTGTGGTGGCAAAAGCATTGGAGCTTACACGTTAGATTTCACTGATCTCAAACGTGTTTGAGTTAGATCATCATTTACAAATTTTTCTCAAAAAATTCTTCAAAATTTTCTTGGCTACCAATTCTTTGTACTGTCAGAATTTGTTTTTCTTCAAAAAAAAAGCTCAATAAAATCAATGAAAAAAAAGTCCAAAGTGTATGTGAAAAATTTAGCTACCAAATAATATTAAAGCTTTATTTTCCACCTTACAAAATTTTTATTGTAAACCATAAAATATAGAAAAAGTGCGGGAATTGAATGTATCCGTAAGCACTGTGCAAATTACATAATGGAACGTGACGGTATTCAAGCGGATTACAACAATATCATAATCTCAAATGGTGCTAGCGAAGCTATTAGAGTTTAGATTTTCTTGTTTCAGAGGTTTTAAGTCTAAAAGCCAGTAAGGAAGGATTTTTTAAAACTGATGCTTAAACTTCCATGCAATTAAACAACGTAGCTAATCATATATATCAGCATATCATATAGAAGAAAATTAACTTGTGTGTAATCCATCTCTTCCAGTATATGCACATATATTTTATTTTAACCAGTAAATTAATTTATTCAGAATATTCTGAAACTTTTTGCAAATGACCAAAGCCCAAAACAAGTAGGTGTTATGATTCCCATCCCACAATATCCATTGTATTCAGCTTCACTGAATGAATTCAACTTGGCACAAGTATGTTTCTAGTTTTTACTACAAATTTTAAAGTGCCAACTCGGTTTTTTTTCTGAGAGACTCTTATCTGTTTTTAGCAAAATACTGAAAAATCACCAATGTAATTCCTTATACTATTCTATAAGTTACGGTGAACTATTATAAGTACTGTAAAATACCTTTTTCAAGACACATTAAGTCTAGACATTAAAAAACATATGCTAAATTAAGTACATATTTGAAATATCGTGTTCATAATTAAAAGGTGAATTTTTTATTCTGAACAAACTAAATTTAATAGATAAAATATTATTTGGATGAAGAACGAAACTGGGGATTGTCCATAGATGAACTTGAAAGAGCGATTAACGAAGCGAAGAGCAAATATGATGTCAAAGCCATTTGTGTGATAAATCCGGGCAATCCAACAGGTAAGTAATATATCAGGTGATCTGTCTAGATCATCTAAATGATTTCAGATAGTTAACAAAGATTTTTCGCCATCTCAATTAAAGAGCCGAAGATCATAAGCTTTCAAAACTTTTCAAATTAATGTAAGAGCTGCCTTACGCATTGAATCACATTCTATCATAAACTTGTAATCGTAAAATAGCTTCTTTAAATAATAGCTCAAAATCGAGCACGAAATAAAGTTAATGTAAGTTAAATTCAAAGTTCTCTTTAGTATGATTTAAACATGTTTTATATCTCACTTTTTCTATTTACAAAAATAAAAAAATTTAATCTACTTTAAGTTATGGAATAAGTTTCATAGTGTGTTACAGTTTAAGTGCTTCTGTGTAGTATTATACAAGTTGAAATTTTTGATTCCAAATCTTTTTCAATATTTTGTAAGCCAAATTATTAAAATTATTTGAGGCCTTCTTAAATTTAAGCGCAAGTGTTGACGAGACAAAATATTGAAGAAATTATCCGTTTTGCTCACAAAAATAAACTATTTATTTTAGCCGATGAAGTAAGTATGTTAATTTGAATTTTTATGAATTAAATTAAAACCCTTCTCACAAGTCAATTTCATTCCTTATTCTATTTTTAAACTTCAAAAACCCATCTATTTTATGAATAATTGCTGATTTGCTGTAATTTATTGTAAATGATACAATACTCAAAGTGTAATTTTATCAAGTTAATTTCTTCAAAAAATTGTAATACAGTATTTTTTTGAATGAAACTTTTTCTTCTTATCCAAGTCCAATTAAATACCAATTTTGTATCAGCAAACTTAATAGATATAAATTGAGTGAAGTTTACGAGTCCAAAAAAACTCTTGTTTTAATTAGTAGTGATTTTTGTTAAAGTTTTACGATAGCAATTTTATTTTTGCTCGTAAAACATAATTTCAGGTATACCAAAAAAACATTCATGATCCAAATTCCAAATTTTTCAGCTTCAAAAAGGTAATGAAGGAGCTTGGAGGAGATTATAAAAAGTGAGCTTAACTGAATTCTTTATCTCTAATCATAAAATATAATTACCTGATAAGCATTAAACATAGGAGCTGTAAATTTTTTTTACTTATACTCAAAAAAAATCAAGCAGGAAAAGTTGATATAAGTTAGTTTCAAAGTTTTTCTTAAAATGATTTAAACATATCTTAAAACTTCGTTTTATAACTTTCGTTAGTTCAGGTTAAGCCTCAAGAATCAACATAAACTTACATTTGTTTCAAATAGAATTAAAAATTGACAATGATAAGGATGAGTCCATCTATCAGTTTCATTCTAAGAAAGTAGTTTCAACATATTCCAGAACTGTGAAAACAAATTTGAGGTTAACTGTGCTGAATCAAATTTTAAATGAATTTTCAGTTATAAAGATATATCTGTGTTGATTTACAGTGTAGAATTGGCTTCATTCTTTTCGGTTTCTAAAGGTTACATGGGGGAATGTGGCATTCGTTCAGGTTATGCTGAATTAGTAAATGTTGACCCGAAAGTTATAGAGGCACTGGTCAAAATGATTTCTGCTCGTTTATGTGCTAATTCATTAGGACAGGTAACTTTACCAAGCTAGGACAAACTTTTATCACCAATATGAATTGACCCCAAAAATTGCTGAAAAATACTTGATTATTATTTTTTGAATAAATAATATTGAGATAAGTGATCACAGCTATTTGCCAGTTGCAGATAGCTCTCGACGCTGCAGTTAATCCACCCAAACAAGGAGATCCATCTTATGAACAGTGGCTGGAAGTGATGCTTTGAAATTTTTATTACTCAAATTATAAATGTTTTTTGTTTACATCTTAACTCTTAAAAAGTTGATTAAAGTTATTTCAATTTCTATTTTTTGATACACAGTGCATAATTTTATCTTCTAAGCAATGACATTATCATAACAACTATGCTGCACATAAATGTTTATTGATAATGCTACTGATTTTTGTATGTTTGAAGGAAACGACAAGTATTTTGAGTTCGATGAAAGAACGCGCTTCATTAGTTCAAGAAGCTTATAGTGCTTTAGAAGGAATCAGTTGTAGTCCAATTCAAGGTGCGATGTATGCTATGCCGAAAATTGAATTGCCAATAAAAGCAATTAAGAAAGCTCAAACTCTGAATGTTCAGCCTGATTTCTTTTATGGTATGCAAATGCTAGAAGAAACTGGAATATGTACGGTACCAGGAAGTGGCTTTGGACAACGTGAGGGAACCTACCACTTTAGGTGCAAGATTTTCCTTTTACTTTTACTGAAAAAGTGTAATAAATACCAAAAAAAGTTAAGATAATTAGTTGTAAGTTGGAAAGTAGTGAAAAGGAAAATTTGATTTTATGAAAATGGAAAAATTTTACGCACGCGGAAACTTAGATTAGTATTGCCCAATATTCTAACTTTTAGGATGATAAATTGATTATTGAAGTTACTTGACATAACTAACACGAAAACGATACTGTAATTGATA